GCTGTCCAGTTGTATCAGACATATTGTCAAAGCTACTTGATATCATGTATCTTCCTGAAAAGAAAATTCCAGCTGCATGTTTAATATATGGTATCATCATGTTCATGAGATGCCATGAGTTAAGTCGAATACAGAGGATAAACACGATTCTGCTTACTCAAGGTCATGCTTCTACTAATGTAAGTAGTAATTGTTTATTTATGTTAATACTTTACAATTGTTTAGCATGATTGTCTGAAGTAACCATTTAACATGTGATGTGCTCCATGCAATTACTTGTATACTTCAGCATTTTATTTGTCTTAATTATGTGCATACAATCTTATAATTGCCAAGTCTTGCAGATACACATTAATAAGTTACATTGTGTAACTTACCTAATGTGCATTGTATCTGCCATTTTTTTTTGATAAATAAAATGTTTGTGAATTCATTTCTATGCTGTTTGACATCAGCTTTCAAAAAAGAAATTAACACTATTTATAATATAGCATTTGTAAATTTTGTATGTGATGGCTAAAGCCATGTTGATATACATGTAACTCAATATCAACACAGAAAATTTCTTTCTTTATATTTATTTGTGCTATATATTATAAAAAAAATATGAAACATTTTTCCACATTGATATACAGTATAGTTATATTAACAGTTGAAATTGGGAAAACTATAAAAACACTCTGTCAACACGATTTCTCGTTTTCCAAATTTCCACTTGTGTTGATATAACTGTATATCAACACAGAAAATGTTTTATATTTGTTAAATGTCCATAAATGAATTGTGATGTGAATTATAATATCATATGTTTATATATAATTATTTTAGTTGATGGAACGACTGAACAAATATGGATTCTGTCTCGATCCCATAACTAAATATACTATGATGGACAACATTGGGCAGCACTTCCTTGAGCGTGCGATAGAATTGGTCAAAACTGGTCACAAGTTTGTATTTGTGCTAGATAACATCGACTGGGAGGAGAAAGTACACGATGTTAGATCAGACAATCAGAACAAGAGTGTGCACGCAGTTTATACCATGCCTGAAATAGGACAACGCTTTTCATTTTTTTCTCTTATTCCTAGGAGCAAAAAGTACTAAAATCTTTGAATGTTTAATCCATTTTGTGTTGCTTGCTTGCAATTTTTAAATGTTTACACTAGTTGCACAATTATTCTTTTGGGGTCACTTGCTGCTTTCAGCTAAATTAGTATAAACGAGTTAAAGGGAATACGAGTCTAATGGTATTATAATGGTATTGTGGCCAAGTACTAAAGTAATAAGGGAGTAAGAGGGAATAAGAGTCTAATGGTATTATAATGGTATTGTGGCCAAGTACTAAAGGAATAAGGGAGTAAGAGGGAATAAGAGTCTAATGGTATTATAATGGTATTGTGGCCAAGTACTAAAGTAATAAGGGAGTAAGAGGGAATAAGAGTCTAATAGTATTATAATGATATTGTGGCCAAGTACTAAAGTAATAAGGGAGTAAGAGGGAATAAGAGTCTAATGGTATTATAATGATATTGTGGCCAAGTACTAAAGGAATAAGGGAGTAAGAGGGAATAAGTGTCTAATGGTATTATAATGATATTGTATATATGTGGCCAAGTACAAAAGGAATAAGGGAGTAAGAGGGAATAAGTGTCTAATGGTATTATAATGATATTGTATATATGTGGCCAAGTACAAAAGGAATAAGGTAGTAAGAGGTATTATAATGGTATCCTGGCCAAGTACTAGAGGAATAAGATGATGTAGCATATACTCCAAATTTGATATTGATTTTAACTAGCCACTGTCAAATCTGAAAGTGAGGGCCACAGTAAATCTTGGCGTTTAGTCACCACTATAGCTCTCCCAGTAAGTAACACTTGCGATGCCCAGCGTTATGTTATCACGTTACATGAATCGGTCATTTTTGACTAATTTTTGACTCTTGCGAGAATGCTTAGCCAAGTTTAAACGCTGCATGATATCTCAGACTCAGTCAATATTTCATGAAATCGCATGTATGACCTATCAAAATTTAAGTTAGCTCCTTTTGGATAAGATAAAAGTTATATGAGCGACATAGCGGTTTTACTTTTGCCGCTATATCGAGTCAAACAAGGGGAACTTTTTTCTGCGCCACCCGGTAGTACATTATATTATAGGAACTCAGTTAAAAAACGCAGACTAATGAATTTTATTTAGTTTAAAGGTGCGGGCGTTGGGGCTTTAATATCAACAGCAAGAAAATCATCCACAACAAAAACAAATTTAAGTAAAAACGAGAACCACATATAAAAAAAAACAAGCAAAGAATTTAACTTTTAAACAAATTATTATTATTACAACTTTATTTCAATACGGAGCTATTTCACAATATAAAACTAACTAAATATATACAGAGAGAAAACAAAATGAGTGATCTTCCAATAGGCCATATATATAAAAATTATCATTACTTTTGTTGCAATTAAAGCTTATTTTTAAAACATTGGACGGTTTGAGATCTTTTAAGATCACAAGGTAAACTATTCCAAGCCACCGCACCCCTGTAACTAAATGACTTTTTCTTGAAATTAGTGTTTGGTTTAGGTGAAAAATAATTTGCACCTGTCTCGTTTCGTAATTGTGTATGTCATCCGTTCTTTGAAATAAATTTGATATGGAGCGAGGAACCATTAAATTTCTAACTTTGAACATTAGTGTAGCAAGTTGTTGGTTCCTACAAGTCTCCAGATTGTCAAGGTTTAGGTGTTGTAGTATAGAACACAGGAGCGGACATCATATCCACACCTATCTATACATTTATCAGATAGTGTGGAACCGATGCCGCCCCATAACTGTGAACAATAATCAAATTAATAGTAATATGTCAAGCTATAGAGAAACTGCTTGCAAATTTCCTATAAGGGCTAAGTACATGTACATAAAACAAATGCTGCATGAAAAACGAAGGGAAAAAAAGAAACTTTGTGATTAGGTAATAGCTACATGTGCGGGTGAAAATACAAAGAAATCAACATGAACGAACGACTTCAGAATACGTTTGTGTAAAAACAGAATTGTTTATCGGAACTTTAGTATTAAAGTAGTATTAAAGTTAATTAGAAAGTATACGTGTTTACCAATGTTTTTATGCTGTTACAACTTACAATGGAAGTAGTGTGAGGTGGTTTCTAAAAAAAAACCCCGAAACCGGTATTTTAAAAAAATACGTTCGAAAATCGAAACTACAGTAACAAGGCACAACACGTTACTCACTCAGTACTCACGCAAGATATTAAACGTAAGATATTTTGAAGACTTTATATTTTGAAGAGTTTAGTTTTTCGTGTGTAAATGCCAAAACTGGATTCGTCCGCAACAAACTCGTATAAGTATGGTTCCATTTTAGTAAAATACCGATTTTTTTCGTTTTTCCTCAGTTTTTCCAGTTTTTATAGGTTTTGTTTGTGGAAACACCACGTAAATTTATTACTGCAAATAAATTTACGTGGTGTTTCCACAAACAAAACCTATTATATTTTATCACCATGCAAACATACAAAGAACTTATTTCCAGTTTTTCTTCAAAAGTACCATCGAGTATTTCAGTTTTCAAAAAACATCGTTTTTTTTCGGTTTACCGAAAAACCGCCTCACCCCAAATGGAAGTGTATGTTTTCTAACTTGACCTTGCCCGTTATATAAATTCTTGACATCACAAACACCTAATCGAATAACTGCCTTGTTCTACCTTGTATTATGTGAGTGATAAAAATCATGTGTCAGAACATGATTTGGTCATTTGTTGTTTTGGTGTAGTGTACTCAGGTGAGTAAGATGCTTGTGATGTTACCCTGAGTGTGGATACACACTCAGAGTAACATCATAAGCATGATTTGGTTAGTTCAAACTAAATTACGTAGCAACTACTGTAGCAATTCAATTTAATCACAATCGTCGTAAAATAGTTCTTCGAAGTGATAAATTGTGTCATGATTGCCCACGCTACTTGCTTTCTATTTATGACTATGTCTATGGCTATGTTAATAAAAAATTATTTAGTTGTAAATATTTAATGCATCTGGTTAACTTCTGTTATTATTCCAAGGCTTTTTTCCAAAGGTACCATTGACCTCGATAATAGACCCAGCGCCAACTGCCGTGGCCAACCTAGCCTGCGATGGCCAACCTTGCTTTACCAACAAGAGGCCTCATCAAATGTTTCTTTTCGCGCACCGTCAAAGGAAAATTTCTGTCATCGACACCCTTCGGCTTCCAAAAATAGTCTGAGTTCTGATGGATATCCTGCTGCCTTAGCCATCATGCAGTGGCTCTTACAAAAAGCATGTCCGTGCTCAGGGGAAGAAGGACAAATGGTGGGGTAATTCACATCTCCAAAGCCAGGCACTGTCACTGGAACCTTCCACATACAATGCGGATAGCACAACTTCCAATTGCCATCGGCAACATATAGCTTTCCACAACCTGAAAAAACAAACTGTGTGAGATAAGCCATGAGTTCAATCCATGAATCACCAGAGACCCACAATTACACACAATATAATCATCACACACTATATTCAGAACAAACCTGTGGGTGAATATTCCTATACACCCCCACTCCCCATTGCATTTTAATACTGTAGCTGCAAATTTTAAACTTTTCAGAAAGTTGTCTTGTACAATACATTTGACTACATCTTCCCTTAATATGACTGCATGATAACATGTCAGGAAATTTTCAGAAAGTTGCACAATACATTTGCTATGACTGCTTACCCTTTTGCTTGCACTGATTGTAGCAATCATGGTCGTACAATTTTTCAGACCGGTTTTTTTCAACAAACTCCATGGCTTCTTCCTCACTGCCAGAAAATGGTCGGTCAGCTGCATTTGTTGTAAACAACCACTTTTCTCTAATCCCAAGCTCCTCAAGTTCTTCTTCTAATTCTTTTGTCCAATAACTTTGGGCAACAGCCTTTGCAGACATTTCACCACAAATAATTCCTGTAACATAATATACCATATTATATAATACCTTATTGAATTCTGATCGTTTAATTGGCTGTTTATGGTCACGTGATATTGAATAGAAAATTCCATTTCCCAAGAGTGCAATGGAATACGTTCCATTGCACTCTTGCGAGTGCAATTGTACTATACGTTTTGTTCCATTGCACTCTTTGTGTTTTCGATAAATCGCATCCGTCAAAATGCTTCTCGTACGGTGATCGCAGTTTATTTTAACCCGATATTCGAAACTCAGTAAATGGGATTTAATGCAAATACGACTCGTCATAATGGCGGGAGCTTACAGTAAACATTTTAATATTAGTCTATTTTGGTATCAAATAAAACAAATAATGAATGTTTTTATGAGTGCAATGGTAAGAATATTTTCATGAGGTGAAAGATGGAATGTTCCATTCAACTCGGCTGTCGCCTCGTTGAATGGAACATTCCATCTTTCACCTCATGAAAATATTCTTACCATTGCACTCATAAAAACATTTATTATTTGTATAATGTAATATAACAAATGAGCCATTTTACAAATAGTTTTGAATAATTACCAAAAAGTGAAATCTAAAGAAATATGTGGCTTTAAATTCTCCCATCTCTAACTGGAGGTCATTTACAATATTAATTATTATTTATCATCTAACCCTTTACTGTAAGTGCAATGTGCCAGATTATTTCACTATGCCACATTTTTTACTCTGTCTAATGCCAGACGATTTTACTCATCAAGAGGAGAGTGTGTTGGACATTTACTGTTGACATTAATATTTTAGTTATATTTGCTCGGACAGGGAAAACTGGGAACGAACGAAAAGGGCGCGAAAATAGTTGTAGGACACGGGATTTTAGAGATAGGGTATATACATGTTAGGAGTTTATATTATGCGAATTATACTATAAGAAATAAAACTATCAAAAGTTAATGAAAGTGAGAAGCAAATAACATGGTGTCAGGAGTTTAAAAGAAGCCAGCTCACATTATTGAAAATGATAGAAGCGAACGGTAGCGAAGCAGAAAACACGCCGAACACAGCCTCGGCATGTCAACCATTATTGCCAGCGGGCTTGGCCATGCCTAAGCCATTAAAAACTGAAGGAAACCTTGCCTCAAACTGGAAGAAATTCAAGCGATCTTGGGATAACTATGCTATAGTGGCAAGACTTAACCGATTTGAAGATGAATTCAAAACAGCAACGTTCCTTTCGTGCATCGGCGAGGACGCAATGGAAATTTTTGAGGGCTTAGATTTTGCCTCGGAAGAAGACCGCACGAAATTTGACATTGTTGTAACCAAATTTAAAGAGTTATGCTTAGGTGAAACAAACGAAACCTATGAGAGATTCGTTTTCAACAGCAGACAAAAGAATGAAAACGAAACAGTCGACCAATACGTAACAGCACTGCGAACATTGGCACAATCTTGTAATTTCTGTAATTGTTTAAGAGATTCTTTGATACGCGATCGCCTGGTCATAGGAATCAACGATAATGCAACTCAAAAAAAGTTATTGCAAGATCGAAAACTCACCTTGACAAAAGCCATCGACATCTGTCGCAGTAGCGAGACCACGAAGAAACAAGTCAAGAAAATCCAGGCAAACAGCGAAGCAAATGAGGGCGAAATCAACGCCATTGTAAACAACAAAACCGAAACCGGAAGCACAGGAACCGGAAGCACAGGAACCGGAAGACGCGATGACAGGCGTATTGGACTTGATAGGCGTGACGGGGGGCGTGACAACAAAATTAAATGCAAATATTGTGGAACAGTGCACCAACGAAAAAAGGAATTATGTCCTGCATTTGGAAGCCGCTGCCAGAATTGTGGTCGCGAAAATCACTTCGCCAAATTTTGTATGCAGAAAGGAAGATATTCCCGCCAAAAGCCACTTCACGCAGTAACTGAAAACGACTCAAGTGATTCAGGCGACTCGCTTATGACTGTCGAACTAGACCCCACCGAGAATGATACCATCAATACAATACACCAACCGAACATTTACAAATCACAGATTTTTGCTACCATGAAAATAAAAGGGGGGAACACAACCAAATTTCAAATCGATACAGGGGCAACCTGCAATGTCCTAAAAAAGAGTGAATTAAAAGGCACTAAATACGAACGGCGCATCAAACCTACGGCACATGTTCTAAAGATGTACAACAACTCATCTCTCACACCCCTTGGAAAGTGCAAAATACAAGTACAAGACCCAATTACAAAGCAAAAGTTCAAAGTACCATTCACTGTTGTTGATGACCAGAATGCAAAAAGTAACCTTCTTGGCTGCCACACTGTGCAACAAATGAATTTGATTCAAATTGGGAGCCCAATTCATGTCGATCAAATTAATGAAGACCTGACTCGGCCTGATCAAATGGGACTGACAATGCAAAACGTCAAAGACATATACCAAGATGTTTTTGAAGGTCTTGGCACCTTAGGTCCAGCACTGCATCTTGAAGTTGATCCTGAAATGTCGCCTGTCCAACGCCCACCAAGAAAAATCCCAGAGTCGCTGAAGCAACCGTTGCGAGAACATTTGGACGAACTTGTCAAGCTTGAGGTCATAGAACGAGTAGACTATCCAACAGACTGGGTCAGCGCAATTGTTGTTGCACCAAAACCCAATGGCAAAATTAGATTATGCCTCAATCCCAGACCACTCAATAAAGCGCTGAAACGATGCCACCATCCAATACCGACAATTGACGACGTACTTCCAGAACTGTCCAATGCAAAAGTCTTTACCAAAGTCGACTGTAGCAACGGATATTGGCAAGTACAATTAGACAAAGAGTTGTCTCTTTTAACGACGTTCAACACTCCATTTGGACGATTTAAATGGCAACGGATGCCTTTCGGGATCTCCCCTGCAGGAGAGATTTTCCAGCAACGACTAGACCAGGCAATTGATGACTTGGATGGTGTACGGACTGTTGCTGATGACATTTTAGTAATAGGAAATGGAGAGACGATGCAGGAAGCTGTAGCCGACCATGACAGAAAGCTCAAGGAACTATTCGACCTCTGCAGAGCTAAACATATCAAGCTTAACCCAAACAAGATTGAGTTGAAGAAGACCTCAATGCCATACATTGGCCACATTCTTACCTTTGATGGTGTCCAAGCAGATCCTGCTAAAGTACAAGCCATACTAGAAATGAAGCAACCCACAGACGTGGCTGGAGTCAGGAGAATCCTCGGAACAGTTAATTATCTTGCCAAGTTCCTTCCCCACCTCTCACAAGTATCTGAACCACTACGACAACTCACAAAAAAGAATCAGCCTTTTGATTGGGACAAATCGCATGACGCCGCTTTCACCCAAATAAAGAAATTGATCACAGAACCGCCAGTCCTCAAGTACTATGAGTCAACCAAACCCCTGATAATACAGTGCGACGCTAGCGACCATGGCCTGGGGGCCGCACTCATTCAAGAGGGAAAGCCTGTTGCATTTGCCAGCCGAGCATTGACGCACGCGGAGAAACAATACGCTCAGATAGAAAAGGAACTGTTAGCTATAGTTTATGGAACCGAGCGTTTTCACCAGTATACATGTGGCCGACCAGTCACAGTAGAATCAGACCACAAGCCGCTCGAAGTCATTCATCAGAAACCTCTGTCAGCAGCACCTAGACGTCTTCAAAAGGTGATGATGAGATTACACCAATATGACTTAACCATCGTTTATAAGAAAGGGTCAGAGATGCTGCTAGCTGACACACTCAGTCGTCACCATTTAGACAACTCCACCGACGAAGCACGCAGCGTCGACAGCGATCTCGACCAAGTGGACAGTTTGGAAGAAATCAACGAAATACTAAATTGTGAAACAACAACCATATTCCAAGACCACACAACGAAAGATCAAGACCTACAGCAAGTCAAATCATTCATCCAGTCAGGATGGCCCGAGAGCTCCAAAGATCTATCTCCAGCAATCACCCCGTACTTCCATCTACGAGACGAACTAACAACACAAGAGGGCCTCGTGTTTAGGGGAGACCGCGTCGTTATCCCAAAATCACTACGAAAGCAAGTACTGAATGAATTGCATGCAGCACACCAAGGGATCGCATCGACAAGTCGGCGAGCCAGAGAAACCGTCTACTGGCCACACCTGAACCAAGAATTGAAAGACCACATCTCACATTGCATCACCTGTGACACATTCAATTCCAAGCAGTCGAAAGAACCTCTCATCCCGCATGAAATACCAAAGAGAGCATGGGCAAAAATCGGTTGTGATATCTTTGAATTTGAAAAGAAATCGTATTTAGTAACAGTGGACTACTACTCGAACTTCTTCGAAGTTGACCGCCTTGAAAAATTGACATCACTGGCAGTCATAAAGAAACTAAAGCCCCATTTCGCCAGGTTCGGTATTCCAAATACTCTCTTGACAGACAACGGCCCACAATTCATCAGTGATGACTTTCGAGACTTCTCTATGAAGTACCAATTTGAGCATATAACGACCAGTCCCTATCACCACCAATCCAACGGCAAAGCCGAATCTGCCGTCAAGCAAGCCAAACGAATAATTCGAACATGCAAATCATCAAACGATGACATTTACCTTGCCCTTCTTGCCCACCGAAACACCCCCCAAACAACTCATGAAACAAGCCCCGCACAACGACTGTTTAACCGCCGTACAAAAACTCCCTTGCCCGTCTCGGAGAAGTTGCTCCAACCGAAGATAAATTCGCAAGAAAACAAACGCATTCAACAAAGACAACAGCTCCAAAAGAAATACCACGATCGTGGCGCAAAAGAGCTCAGCCCGTTGCGGAAAGGAGAAGTGGTGAGACTACAGCCAACCCGAATCGGCGAAAAGAAATGGAAGAGAGGGATAGTCGTACGCAAAGCCGGGATAAGATCATATGAAGTCCAATGCAAAGGGTATACCTATACTAGAAACAGAAAATTCATCCGACGATCAAGGTTACCTGCAGAATTCGGTAGTGACAACGCAGATGAAGAGATGTCAGACATGTCCGAAGCGGAAGAGAACGTTTCTGTACCTACTGACAATGATCTGCCCCAAGAAAACCCTCAACCAGCACACTTAGAACGCAATGAAACAAGTACTGAAACAAGTTCTACAAGCAAAACCCGTAGTGGACGGTTAGTTAAAAAACCTGACAGGCTAGGTATAGACACATAAGGGAACGCGGTATATATACGGTATATTTATAAAGAAAAAAAACTTTCAGAGAAGAGGAGATGTTGGACATTTACTGTTGACATTAATATTTTAGTTATATTTGCTCGGACAGGGAAAACTGGGAACAAAGGAAAAGGGCGCGAAAATAGGTGTAGGACACGGGATTTTAGGGATAGAGTATATACATGTTATGAGTTTATATTATGCGAATTATACTATAAGAAATAAAACTATACATACATACATACATACATACATACTTTATTGTGTTCCCTAAATAGGGATTTTCAACACTGATTTATAAAAAATAAATGTTGTTCTATTTACAAGTTTTAGAATCTAGAATTTAAATTAAGGTAAAAAGGTAAGACATTTGTATAAAGTTTAACAAGGTAAAATTATCTACTTATATATTTGTTCTAGCATGCTTCGCTTCAGTTCGTTTTTGAAAGTTTTTAGGGAGTCTAACTTTTTGTACTTTATGTCCAAATCATTCCAGAGTGTAACGCCTCTATAATGAAAGGACCTTTGACCTGCAGAAGTTTTGTACAATGGTATTTGCAGTGAGTCATGGCTACGTGTATCTCGTTGATGAATGTCAGAACGTTTTGTGAATAAATCGCTCAAATAATGTGGAGCAAGTTCATTGACACATTTGTACATCATAATAGCCTCTCTTAGTAGTAATTGTTCCTTTACTGGGAGCCAGTTAAGTTCGCGTAAGCCCGGCGAAATATGGTCGAACTTTCCAATATTTGTTATTATCCTGCATGCAAAATTTTGTACCAACTGTAGTTTCTTAATGTTGGTAGACGAAGTGTTTGACCAAACCGTTGAACAATAGAACATTTTGTTCATTACAAGTGCCGAGACGATGAGAGTTAAAGCTTCTTTATCGAAACATTTTTTGACTCGGTTTATTTGGCACAGGGAATTCATACATGAGGAAACCAGGTTGGTGATGTGCTGGTCATATGTCAAATAAGAGTCGATTGTCATTCCTAGATCTTTGGCAAAGGAGACGGGGGTAATAGTCTCGTTGAGGAAGTTTATGGTCATATCTACGGGAAGTTGTTGTAGGTTTTGCCGTGTGCCAATCAGCATGTATTTGGTCTTTCCCGGGTTAATAAGCAATTCATTTTCGGAACAACTGTTTGCAATCAAATACAAGTCTTCCTCAAGTTGTTGCTTTAAACAGTCCACGTTAGCCACAGTGAAAGATAGTAATATCTTGGAGTCGTCCACGTACGATTCAAGTTTACTATGGTGGACTGATGAGGGAAAATCGTTAGTATAAATACTAAAAAGTAAAGGTGATAAAATTGCACCCTGTGGTACACCATAAGAAACAGGGAGAGGAGTAGACACAGTTGATCCAATTCTGACTGATTGAGTTCTTCCGGTCAAGTAACTCTCAAACCATTTTACAACGCTTGGAGAAGCCCCGACGTTGCTAAGTTTTGTAAGGAGAAAAGTATGATTTACACTGTCAAAAGCTTTAGATAGATCTATTAGAATCAGTGCAGTAACCAATTTCCCATCCATAGCCTTTAGGATAGTATCTCCGGTCAAAAGATTCAATGTTTCGCATGAGTGATGTTTCTTGTTCCCGCTCTGGTGGGTTGACAATTTTTTGTTCTTCATTAGATACGAACAAAATTGATTCAAGGCGACTTTTTCACAAATTTTCGAAAGAAAGGTAAGGAGAGAAAGTGGGCGGTTATTTGATGCTTCCTCGTGGTTTCCATCCTTTAACAAAGGGATAACTTCTGCCTCTTTCCATGCTATAGGGAACGAAGATGACGACAGTGAACAATTAATGATATCGGTGAGGGGCCCAAGAATTACCGGTAGGCTGTGTTTGATGACACGCATACTCACTTTGTCTTTGCCGGGTGATTTGTTTGACGGCATAGCTAATATGATGTTCCTTATTTCTGAACAAGAGACTGGGGTGAAACTAAATCTATCATTTTCTTCAGGGTAGCTGTTATCTGTGCGATTTACGTCAGAAAGATTCCGAGCTGGATAAACACTAGGATCTTGTATTAGTGTTGAGGCTTTCTTTGCTGCATTCACACCGATGGTGGAAAAGAAATGATTAAACTCTTCGGCCACTAATTTCGGTTCCTTACTGTAGACCACTGACTCTCTTTCCCTATACGCTATATTTTCTTTAATTACCTTCCAAAGTGACCCAGTATTGTTCCTGTGTTGCTGAACTTCCTTCAGTACATATTCTTTCTGTGCATTAACAAGTGCGGTTTTTGTAAAATTGCGGGCCTCTCTGAAATTAAGCCAATCATAATGATCACGTGTTTTCCTGAAAAGACTGTGGAGCTGGTCTCTTTTGATCATGGATGCTTTTATTTCCGGGGTGATAAATGGGCAAGATTTTCCGCGTACTTTTATGGTCTTTACTGGGGCGTGTTTATCCAATGTGTTTAAAAATATTTCATTAAAAATGGTTAGTTTTTCATCAACATTGTCCATTCTGAAAATGGAAACAAGACGATCACGGTTGGATGCCAGATCGATCGCGAACAAATCAGGGTCGTATTTATTGTAGCTGCGGGTAGTGATATAGTTTGGTGGAGATTTGTCGGTTTTAAGTTTTAGTGATACATACACAGGGAAATGATCGCTGATACAGGTTTCTATGACGCCGCTGTTGACTACTAGTCTTGGCGAGGATACGAAAATAACGTCGACGAGGGTCTGACTGGATTCAGTAATTCTTGTTGGTGATTTTATTAACTGGTTAAGGTTGAGTTCTTTTGTCGTCTTGATCAAAGACGCTGATCCAGGTGTGGGCTTAAGCATATCGCAGTTTAGGTCTCCAAGAAGAATGATCAACTTTCCCATCGTCAGAGCATGAACATAATTAGGTTTAAAATATTTTTCGAAGCAGTCAAGCGGGCTGTCTGGGGGTCGATAAGAGACACAGACCAACAGTGATTTAGATTTTTTGTGCTGTAATTTGATCCATAATTGATGGAAATTCGTCTCGGAGATATAACTGGGGTCTTTAAGTACAAGAGATTTAATATCTTTTCGTATGTAAGCACATACCCCGCCCCCTTTCTTGTGCAGTCGGTCTAAACGATGTAGCTTATAACCTTCGATTTCTATTTCCTTGTTTGTGACGGATGTATTTAACCATGTCTCTGATACTGTAAGGACGTCAAGTTTGTTAAATTTGGTAAACTTACGTAATTCTAAAAAATGGGCGTTATTTTTCAGAGAGCGGATGTTTAGGTGGACCAGTTTGAGACCTGGAAGGGTACTGAGGCTGTTATCTGACTTTTTTGTTAAATGGGCTGAGGCCGTATCATTAGTGGTTTTCGACGTGAGTGACCACGAGAGTGCGGAAGCGTTTGGAGAGGCAGGGTTGGACAAAGGAACACGAACAAGATTTCTATTTTGCAAGTTATTGTTAACACTAGAAGAATTATTAATGGTTAGTTGATATGATAGTCTCTGACGTGATGGTCTCTGACGTGAAGTGATTCTAACAGGTATTTTCATCATATTGTCTGCTGCTGACTCGTCAAACAGGCCACTGTGTGGAGATGGGCCAACCACTCTAGAGAGTGGTGGCGGTGGGCTGTCCGATACGAAGGAATGACACGACAACGTTTTAAAAAAGGATACCGACTACAATGGTGCCTTCGAAACCCTAAGGGGTTTGTAACTTGACCGTGTCTAAGACTTGAGGGTCTCGGGGCTGGAAAATGAGGGAACGAAGAATGCTTTAGATTTGACTCGCTGATTGACCTATCCGATCGGGGATTCACCTGGTCAGGGTTAAGGGCATCAAGGCTTAACACGGTTTTTGCATAGGATCGGTCGCAATTCCTACATATGCCTTGCTTCCCACGTTGCTTGAAATGTTGACACCCATCGGATAAATCCTGCTCACGCTGATCTAATTCATTTTCGTCAAAAGTGAGGTTTGCAGAAACATCTTCGATTATACTTAGATCTTCGCATAAGGGCAAATAGTTTAAAACATTCTTAGCCTGAAAAGGCTCGCGGTTCAGGCTTAATGAGTAATCTTTTTTGAAGGAGTTGATTGTAGTCTTAGATTGTTGTGTGGATAATAGGGCATTGTTCTTTATTTCAATGATAACTGTAGGGAAACTTTCTTCAGCGGGCAGGTTATCTACATTAACTGGGGTTGATAACGGCACCAGATGGGTGATTTATTTTAGTTGATCCATCGTGTTGGGGATTTACATTGTCAGGACTGTTAAAGGACTTCTTATCTTGTAAAAATGGCTTTGAGGGACTTGAAAAGGTTATGGAAGCCGAGTCTTTAATCATCATTTTCTCCTCTAGGTCGGTAATGCGTGACTTTAAATTCAAATTCTCGTTTCCTAATCGGCACAGCTCTTGTTTATTTGTGTCAATAATATGATTTTGTTCAGACACTTTAGTCAACAATTTTTCTATTTGCGACTCTATTTTTTCTTTAAATGTAAGGAGTTGTGCCTCGGCTATAGTCGGGATATCATCAGCTCGTTGTTGAAATGGTGTAGAAAAGCTGGCTGTCTGAGCAAAATTCGGCGTGGCTGCGACATTCGCAATATAATATGCGCTATCAATGAAGTCCTCAAGTTCTTCGAGTGACGAAGTGTCAGCAATCGATTCAAACCCCATATCTTTGGCTTGAGTATTGTACGAACAATTGTGAGTTAAAGGGGCCATGTCCTCGAACACACGGCCATTACCAACGATATGTTCGCCTTCGACCGACATTTTTGTAGTTGTTTGGATTAAACTATCCGAGGTCGTATTTGTTTGCTTAATAACGCAATTTGTGTCTAATACGCTCACTAGAAATTCCTTGAAAGATTTGCCTTTCTTTCCATTGAAAGTCAAAGAGTTTTGTTTGCCTGGGTACCAAGTCATAATAAAATCAGAGCTTAAGTTTATAAACTGTTTGGCTTTACCGCCAGGCGACGTCCATTTACCCGTTAATCCGACAACATTTTCGGCAAAAGTCCTTAACGAACAGAGGTCGTTTGTCCATTTGAGACGGATCCCATCATAAACTAGATGACCTTGATTGTTTAACAACTTTATGGAGTTCATATCAATAGTTTCAGGACTAAAATTTTCAAGTTTAGTTGAGGCCATAATTAAACCATCCGCCGCCATGTTGTTATTCAACATTCCATACGTCATCAGGCTCTCCCGTTCATTTAATTTTATTCGCACATATGTTTTACTCGATACAATGCGAGTTGACTTGTACAGGGGGCGCCGGAGCCACAGGGGCAGCGGGGGCAACTGCCCCCGTTGCCCAAACATTGCGGGGGCAGCACGGGAGCAACAGGTTGCCCTTTTTGCCAGAACTGCACCTCGAAATTTGTGCATTATTCACAGCAATTGGAATTTAGAACTATTTTTAAGCAATGTTTAAAGATGCAGTACAGTCCGTATGTAAACAAAGGATTTGTTTACATTTCGGTATCCAAGATATTTAACAATTATTCGCCGAAGGCGAGGTGATTATCGGTGAATAGAGACCTTAAGATTGACGTTTACGGCAAACGTCAAACCGCTAGCAAGGTCCTTGTTTTTACAACTCTATTATAATAGCTTTTACACCAGTTTTAAAATATGTTAAACTTATTATACTTGTACTCTTTAGCAATGATTTAAGAAAGCCAATTAACCACTAGTCATGCCATTCACCAAAGCAGTAAATTAAGATTTGGCGTTTGAAGTTGACGTTTGGCGTATAAATTTCATTCTTGAACTGCTACGAGGGCTTGTAGTCGTTAAAGCATGGAATCTATACGCCAAACGTCAACTTCAAACGCCAAATCTTAATTTACTGCTTTGGTGAATGGCATGACTAGTGGTTAATTTGCTTTCTTAAATCATTGCTAAAGAGCACAAGTTTAAAAAGTCTAACATATTTCAAAACTGGTGTGAAAGCTATAATAATAGAGTTGTAAAATCAAAAACTTCGCTAGCGGTTTGACGTTTGCCGTAAACGTCAATCTTAAGGTCTCTAATAAAAACCGAGACGAAGTCGAGGTTTTTATTCACGATAATCACCGAGCCTGAGGTGAATAATTGTTTTAGTATAATTTCATAGGTGATTATATGGAAAAAATAAAAAAATACACATTTCTTCGTCATTTAATTGACAAAAAGGCTTCGGCCGCCATTTTGAAAATCGCTTAGGTGATTATCGCGTAATAATCACCTCAACGGCAACCAATCAGCGTGGAGAATTTTCAATAATCACCTATGTAATTATACTAAAGAATTTTATTCGACAACTATTTATATTTTCATGATTCTAGAGTATACTAAATTATCAAGACACAACAATCAAGCTTTGCAAGAACATAAAATATGAAATAAAAATCTAAATAAACTGTTTGTATAATAAAAAGAGGGCTCCTTTGTTCACATACGCAGATCGGACTGTACAGCACCTTTAAGCAATCTTTGCTTAATTTTTAAACAGTTGCAGTAAAATTAATGCTAAATCAAGTAATATAGCCTACGTCTGCTTGCTGATTTTATTTTGCGTCTTTAGCACCTTGTAACGAATAGCTAAAAATCGATCAATATTTCGAAGTTTGCGATCCATAATAGCCAGAAGTAATCGAGTATCCATACAGTAAAGTTTTAATAAATATTGCTGCCCAGAAAAATTATGGCTGAGAAGCAAGTGCCCTTTTGAAATGGCTGCCCCCGCCGCTTCACATTGCTTCCGGCGCCCCTGGTCACTTGTAGCAAGTCTACCACAAACATGATCATTCTAATTTTAAACAGCCAATCAAATTTTTGTAGTAATTATACTAAGAACCAGTTTGGCTGTTTGAAATTGGAATTATGAACGTGTAAAACATTTAGGCATGGTCGTCAACATTTGTGGGCGTGAACATGATTGCATTTTGATGCGTTCGCACACTTCGGTGACATCCGTAATGTTCATGACGTTCACTCATGACCCTAATGCCAACCTATATATCCATGCCATGACCCTAATCGTAATTCTTGTGCTGTCAACCGTGGTTAAGGTTACAGGACACCCTCTTCTGCGCGTTCAATATCAGTCCGATTTTCATCAAATTTCATCAAATGTTCTCCAGTGCATGCAAAATATGGTAAAGTTGTAAAATTAACAAACAATAAAATAATGTAAGAATTATTCAAGAAAATCTTAAATCGCGGTACCGTTAGGCTTTTGAGTTGTGCTCCTGCTGGTTTCAAGTTATATTTATGAAAATATCATTTTTATACAGTAAAATAGTTGTTCTAAAAAAACGTGTTCGGACATTTTTGTTTATTTCGTCATTCCGCTGATATGGCGATTTCTTTGACGACTGCAATATATTTCTGAATTGTTTGAGTGAATTGCTCTTTATTTTTAAAATATCCAAAATTAAAAAAAAGCCGAACACGTTCTTGAAACTGACGTATTTAGCTATGACCTGTGAAAATTTGAGAAAAATTTGTTGAAACCCGCAGGAGCACAACTCATTTGAAAATCAGTAATTACCGTAAAATTTTTCGGGAGAAAATTGAATTTGAATATTACATTTTCAATGTTTTTCTTATTGCAGCGAAATGTATTTTATTAAATAACTCTGCGAGTTTTCAACATTTTTCGTTCAAACTTGGTCAGATAGTAGAACTAGTCTAATGCTTTCATTGAAACCAATAAAAAAATTTTAGGCAAAATTAACACTCAAAGGTGTTCTGTAACCTTAATTAGTTAGCTACCTGTTGAAGATCTGGAAGCATGTCGTAATAAGAACATCCTTCTGTTGTAACCAATGCTGATGGAAATTGGAATTGATTGGATGACAACAGTTGACATTGTGCATTTGAACACATTTGAAATGCCATACAGAAACAATCTTCATAGCAATGAAGGAAACATTCATCCACAGTTGCCATGGTGAAGTTGCGATATTCGTATCCATAAAGTACTTTATCTTTCAAGACTTTCGTCTTGTCTATCATGTACTGAGACTGAACCAACGCGAGAAATCCAATTGACAAGACAGCACCAAGAGTGGCAATGAGAGTTGATCTGAAATGAATTGTCTATGTATTACGGTGATATGTATTATGTGATTAATCGCGTTGGGGAACAGTAGAATATTCAAGAGAGATCCCCCTGCAGACGAACAAAGGCCGCGGAACAGTGGGCAATGTTGCACCCCCCACCCCACCCCCGCTTTTTTGCACCAAAATGTGCCCTTTTTTCAAGCGAAAGTGCCCTTTTTGAGTCATAATATGTGCCTTATGGTATACTACGAATCTGAAATACAATATCTCAATAGACATTTATATACTGTAGCTAAATGTTGCTTTGGAGTTCTAATTATGCAAGATATATCTCAGGTATATCTTGTTCAGAAAAACAAACTCTTCGAATTCGGTTTTTCGGGCAATTTTCATATGTGTTATATGAATTATGTTATAATAAATATACACCCTATTCTATCTATTTCTTGTAATAGTCAATGCATAAACCAGCTGGGAGTACCTTGAACTAAATAAAAGCTACTTCCCAAATGTATGGGGGTAAATGTGATAACTATTATGGAAAGTGTCCTTTTTGTCATTGTCCCCCACCCCCCTCTTTCGAGATGCTTCCTCGGCCTTTGCAGACAAACAAGACTCCTTGATAAGTTTCATGTAGTACCGACACTTGTCCGACACACGAACAAATTTTCCTTGTCCAAAAGTTGGCCTGACTAAGCTTTGGAACGAGGCTCGATCCTTGACTGCAAGGGGAAAATTTTTACCGTACACACAAACCATGATAAAACTTGTCAAGAAAAATACTACACCACTTTTAATAATCTTATTATCATAATTCATTTTTTAGATTGCATTTTCGATGCCCGCTAAGAATTAGATGTGTTAAATGATTTATGGGGCACCTTGCATAAAGAACGACGTGCCGCTACGAAAGGTGAAGACGTCCAAGAAAGAGATCCTTCTTTGGGAAAAAGCATTAAAACATAGTAGCTTTTAGTTGCATTTTATGTGGCCTGTATATAAGGTTGTTAAATGGTACTAATTAAATAACATGAACAGTCATTGCGCTTTTCAACAAAACCTCTGATGAGTTCGACACAAGTTCGGCAGACCTTGTCGTATTATGCAATGTTGGAGTGACATCGATTCACACGCCGCTCCGCTCATGTGCCAAACCTAACACAACTTTTTGAAATGTGGTAGTATTAGATTAGCCATCTTTCAACTTAATAAAAATAGACTTATTTGTTTTGAATTTTATTTACGATTCGCTTGGCGGCTTGCGAATGCCCCAGGCCCCCAGCCTTGTCAATAGCATTATATTTTAATTGTATGGCACATTTTGCTTGTCATAGTAACCTTAACAATAGATGACAGTTATATTTATGCTCCGTTAAATTGTTAGCTTATCGACGACTATATTATATATGGACATTTTTGTTGTTTTAAACAGGTTGTTATTTTTTTTCAAACTAGCTACATATCTGGAACGTCTAGACTTTTCGAAACCTCTACTGACATGTTAATTTAAATGGCATTTCGCAACAAAAATATCAGAATAGCGGGAACTGAGGAATATGTTTACTGTTTAGTTTAGAAAGATGATACCCAAGCCTGTAATTTACTAGCTAATAAAAATAATAGAAATAATGATTTCAATATCTTTAGCTTTTTAGAAATATCGAGTGAAAATTCTGTACATTTTATAAGACTCTAGATCTTGGACAAAGAGAAGCTGATAATACAATGCAGGAGTTATATATTGCCGTAGTAGGGCATACTGAAATTATGTATCCATGCTCATTGGTTGGTTAAGAACCAAGACAAATTTCGGAGACGTGTGAAATACAGTAAATAAAATACAATCTTGAACATAACTTCTTGAGACTACCTTTCGCTCTATATATACATACCACCGCGCTTATGATAAATGATCCATAGGAAATCATGTTGCGCTTCTTAAGCCCCCAAGCCAACGTTCAACCTGTGTCACACATGGTAGCCTAATTACGAAAAGTTGTTTTGGTGCTGTTTACAACATTGAACTGGCGAGTAAGGATGACAAAAATTAATATTTAAATAATTGTTGCATCACTTGAATGCCCCATCCGCAGACATCTCTATCAATAATTATACGGTTAGGGTGTCACCCTAACCCTTGGCAAAGAGAAGCTTATAGCATCACAATCTTAGAATTTTCTGATCAGTTCAACACTATTTTCATTGGCCTGTGGGGTGGAGGTGTATAACACCCACCTGAAAAGTTGGAAAGGGGCAAATTATTTTGAAGCAGTGCCAATTTCTAATTTTATAATGAAGACGAAGGTCGCTGAGATATTTTAAATCAATAACTTTTAACTTTTCCCTTCTTGTTCTCGTGTAGGAACAACAGTTATTAATTAAAGTTAAAATTTAAACGAGAAACTCAAATTTCACACACAGCTGTGGTTCAAATAACATTAACAGTAAAATTGCATGATAAAAAGGAATGTGTTCCTGCTAAATTATATTAAATAATTTCTCTTGTACCGATAACACATTCATTTTACACAAGAGTAAAGTCATTGTATAACTACAAGGGTGTGTTATTCGGAAAATTATTAACTATAATTCACGGATAAAAGGCGGACACTGTAACATTTATCTTTAGAATTTATACGTACCCCAAAGAGAATCCCATATTTTCTGCAGTGACTAATTGCAATTATCGTTTGCAGACCATAGCTTAAGCTGCACTGTATACTGTCTTCTTGGTTACTAAAAAATAATTGTGGCCAAGTGTAGTTATATATATATATTACTGCATGGGGTAATGAATTTTTAATGCTGTGAAACATACGTACAGTATATACGTCGCGACTTTAGTTACTTCAAACACGCAAATACAATACAATACAATATATTAATAAGGTCTACGGTGGCTCGATACAATTTTCAAATAATTCAGGTGTACAAATTAAAGTTTGACATTTTTCAACTTCGTATTTTTGGGTTTTGTAGAGCAGATATGATAACGTTCAAATGTTTTCAAAGTTTCTTCTTTCAAATTATGCAGGTTGTGGTAACACATAGTTCGCTGCTATGGCGACACACGCGTACGAAGTTCACTCACATGAGACCAGAACGAAGTCCTTGGAAAAGAAGCATGGAACCACAATATTGTATCGTGCACAATTTTACTTGGAACATAGACTAACAATTAATGGAAACTTTTTGAACATTCTGTAATGAATTTTCTTTAAAAACAAAAATAGTTGTTTTTTTCAATACAATTTTTTGGCATTGCAGTTTTTTGTTTTTGGTATAACGAAAGACGTTTGTATATGATTACACAATACAGCGTTGCAAAATTTGAACATAGATCACCTCACGAAAAAAATAATGAACTATATAGCGGTATTGATTTTGAAAGATTGGAATATTTTGCTATGTCAAGGGTTTATTTATCATATTTCATGTTTATCTCATATTTTCCGTGTCATGCATGCATGCGTAAACCTTAAAATTAAAATAGATGTTGCATTTATGTTCCATTAAGTCCATTAGTTGACGGGTTGTCGACCCATTTTAATTAAACGGGTTGTTATTTTTAAAATACTTTTTTTCAAAGTGGAAAGTATTCAATGCTAGCCTTTTCAAGCACTTTACTCATGCACATATGTTCAAATGGCATTTCACGGCTAAGGCTCGTTGCAGACGATGTAGTTACTTTTCATGAGCCAAACTTAATTGACGAATTAGGTACGCAGAATAGAGCGACGTACGATCCAATTAAGTATACGGCAGAATTTGGAGTAGCAAAAGTTACACACAAGTTCGGTAGAGCTTGTCGCTGCATTATATGCGGGAAATTCTGAGCGAAATAGTAAAATTCTATACATTTTAGTAATATAGTATATCTATAAACTGTTTTATCTAAGATATATTTGTATTTGTTCCAACTTTGATCAGGTTTTGTCCTATATGTTGAAGATTATCACAAGCTGACAAAAACACAGCTTTTAATCCAGTCCCCCTCGACAAACTGACGTCCGTGTTGACAAAAACAGTGCGGTCTTAAGCTCATGAATAGGTAATAAGATGATTTCAGGTGCAATTTAAAATAAATATAAAGCATGCACGAGTGAGTTTTTCCAAAGACTATCAAAATTGTACGAGTCCGAAGGACAAGTTTAAAGCAAACCGTCCAAAGGCAACGTTTTCCTGACTTTGTACAACGCTAACAGCTTGAAAATTTCTCTCAACTATGTAAGTTTTGTTGGTTTTGTTTAAGTTAAGGGCTCCTCTACTCAGTGTTATTGATAATGTTTCGAACAAGATTATTGTAAAGAAGATACGTCCAAAGGGGCCGAAGTTATGTTCGGCGAAAGTTTTATCACGGTATAATTTCCATTTCCGGCCCGACCATGTGAGCTAATCCAACCGGAAATACAATTTTAAAACGTGAACAATGCGACGTGTGTGCAATGACTTTGCATGGAAAGGCTAGAAATCGATTCCAAAGGTCAGAGTGCACATCTATGTTTTTATCTGCTAAATCCCTTTTATTTCCCGGTGCTACTATTCAGTAGATACATGTACGCCACAGTGGACCTATGTTTACATTTTCTTTTTACCATGTAATTTTACATTTAATAGAGAGCTTTTGAAGCCTAAAAGCTTCGCGTTATAGGTCAAACGGCAAACGCCAGGCAAAGAAAAATTTTACGGTATCAGGCAATAAAGAGTAAATGAACTTGCTGTTTTAAAACTGCAATGTATGATTATTCTTTCGACACAACAAACAAAGTATGAAACGAAAACGTTCAACGAAAATTTTGCTAAGAAAGTGTAATTGAACCTGCCGTTTGCCGTTCCCGGAAGCGTGAAACTTAAACTCCCTAATGTACTTTCACTGCGGCGCGTGAAATTTGTAAATTTTCTTGATTAAATTTAAACTTTAATACTATTGTTGCTACAAGCACAAGAAAAAG